CTGCCCGGTTCGCCCTCCACTTGGGTGAAGCGCACCACCTCCTTCACGTCCTCCCGAGCGAGCGCTGCCTTGAGATCGAGGTACTCCGCCTCGCTGAGCCGTTGCCCAAGTCTCTCTGACGTCGGCCTGTGCTGCGAGAGACGTGCAAGCAGGTCGCGGAGCTCCGGCTGCAGCAGGAGTCGCCGCTTCATGCCACCACCTTCCAGACCTGCGGCGCAGTAATCGCGGCCCGAGATGGACTGCTTCTCCAGGGCCTCGCCGCCCGATTGCTGGCTCGGGTGGACGAACGTCCGCCTGCAGTCCAGAGAGGTACTCCCTAAGCCTCCCGGCCGTTTGCCACCGTCCGAGTTTGCTACTCCAACTATTCCATCGGCCAGGAGCACCTGCGAAGCTCGAAGGCGTTTTGCGTAAGCATCGAAAAGTCTAGGGTGGAGCCCCGGGCGTTCGACCATATATTGATGTTTCATGAATGGATCACCACTCTTGACAACATGGCCTTCGCCTTCCAAAAACATGCCGCAACTCTAGTGGCCTTTTTGCGCGGTTCCATACGGTGTCAAAATGATTGGAAACTGGTTCCCCCTCGTCATCATTGTCGCCAGCATCTTGCATCTCGACGCAGGCGTACAAAACTGGCCGACAGTCAAAACTTGCGTTCTATTATATATATATAAGTGTGTATGGACTTGCAACTTTTGACTCATTCTCCAAGGGTCATGCCTGACTTGCAAATTGGATGACGCAATGCGGAAATACTGGCGCGATTAAAACCTCGAAGAATGCCACGGCATGGATGCGGCAAGGCAGAGCTTATCCACTCACGTGACCCGACTTGCATTGCCCGACGAATTCGACGACGGTGATTTAAATTTGGATATAGATTCGCTTCGGGCGCTTGCCGACGGATCCGTCATTCCTCATAGATTGACGACACTACGAGAGAAGAGACCACGCTGCAACAAGTGCTCACCTCCGGATGCACGCCGCAGATAGAACAGCACTCGAGGATCTGCCTGCCGACCAGCCTGAAGAAGTCGAGACTCGCCCGCCGCCAACTCTCGTCCGATAAAACGACCGAGTCGGGGGAGCGGGCGAAAGCCTCCTGGTCCCTCGCCAACTCAGCGGAGAAGGCCGATCCCGATCGTTGCATTCCCTTCAGGATGAGCTGCAAGCTTTCTTGAACCAGGATCGTCCCCTGCGTCCAGCAGTAGAGGCCGAGATGTTCCCCACAAAAGTGCACGGTGTGCGCCTTGCTAGTGCACTGGCAGCAGTAGATCGTCGTTTGCACTGGCTCCGACCAGGTGGAGCCGTGGATGAAGGCCGCCTTCACGTGCTCTACCCATTTGCCGCCGCAGGGGGGTGCCTGAATCGGGCAAGCGGCCCTCAGCATGCCCAGCTGGCTGAGCTCGCGAAAATGGCAATCCCTTAGCTTGCTGACGCGGACCGGCCCTCCCTTGAGGCAGCTGATCCATGGGTCATGGTGAAGCTGGGAGTCGCTGAGCTTGCCCAGTTTGGGCTGCGTGACCTGCAGAGCCTCCGTCCCCAGCAGCATGATCGGCACCTGGATGCGCTCCCCCTCCGCGTGCTTGCATCCCCCTTGCAGCACCCCGCTAAGAGTGCAGCTATTGCAAGCTGTTACCCAGCCGTGGACTGCCTCCTTCCCCCGCGCGTCCTCCGCCGGCTCCTCCGGGGCACTGCGTGGCGCGGCTCTTTGCAGCTCGCCCGCGTGGTCCGCCCAGTATTTCGAACCCCTCGGCGCCCGCTTCCAAAGCTCGACGCCGGTGCTCGACGGTTCCGGGGCCTCTGCCTCGTCGATGGCGTCTAAGGGCACCCGCGCTTCTCCAAAAAGAATCCGATGCTTCCGGCAGAAGCACTCGTCTCCCAGACACTCTGCCGCTCCGTGCTTCTGTCCGGCGATCAATCCCAGCAGGACCTCCTCCTCATTGGTTGCCCCTTGCCCGATTGCGCACCCTGCCCTCTGCACCCTTTGCTCGTCCGGCTCGCCAAGCAACGGCAGCTCACCCTCCCGTTCCAGGATCCAGTGAGCTGCCGTACTTAGGGCGTCCGGCCCGAGAAGGATGCCCTCACAATGCTGCAACTTTCCCGCTGCTAGGGTAGCCTTGGCCGCCGCGATGTGAGTGCATTCTTGCGCAGGACAGCCGCTGAGTTTGCCCTGACAGTACCAGGCTCCAGCCGTGGACCGGTGGAGCATCCTATGCTCAGGGCTCACTCCCAAAGGACTGTTCCTCACTGCATAGAAGGTGCCACTCGAGTCTGCGCCCAGATGCTCGACCACGAGCCCCCCCTGGCTCAGGACCTTCGCGGTCGGCAGGCAGCTGCTGGCGATGGAGTCCGTGCAGAGGGACGCCAAGACCAGCTTGTGCACGCAGGAGGCTTCTAAAGACAGCCTGCCGCGGTCGCAGGTACAATTGAGACGGCCCTGGGTGTCCCACCAGACCTCCTCCAGCAGTGCTTTCTCTTTGCAAGGTTTGCCCAGCGGCTTCGGCTTTGCGCGATTGTGATCCCACGCCGTCAGGTACAGCCTGCCGAGGAGCGGACCCTCTCCGTCCTGGCCCGCCGGCAACACCATGCGGCACGTGCCATCTAGCACGCCACTGAGGAAGAGGGTGGCTTGGCTGGCAATGCTGCGGGGCCCGCCTTCGAGCGCCTGCAAGGGCCGACCAAGTCCTTCAGATACACCTCCTGACCAGCCTCAGATATCAGCCTCACACCATGCTCAGAATCTGAGCGGAACGAGCAGGTCAAGACTGCCTGTGGAATCTTGTCCAACAAAGAGCCTTTTGGGTGGCGAGCAATGATAAATTCCATGAAGAGCATGTAATCGGACCGCGTGTTTCCTTTCTTTAAATGGGCGCATGCAAGACAATGGGTCCAGCACAATCTGGCCGGGCTGATGCAATTGTTGGACGATTTCTGATGCATTGCAAATATTCATAGGATCTAAGAAGAAAATAATCATCAGCTCACCGACGCTGCGCGCGGTCTCTTGCCAGCCTGCATTCCCCGGCCAGAGCTCTCAGCTGCAGATTTTTTAGGGTTCTTCCTTTTCCTACCACCCTCATTGGCCGCGGAGGCCTCCTCCAGGAGTTGGTCGGTAAGCTGCAACCTCTGCAGCCATGCACCTGACCTCTCCCGCTGAAAAAGCACTGCATCTTGCAGACCCGGGGGCCTGTCTGTGAGCAGCAGTGAAAGGCCATCTGCGCTTTCTCCGACTGAGCCTAAATGGCGGGCAACGCAGCTGAGGCACAGAAGCTGTTTCACCTGCTTGCTCTTAGGCACGCTGGCAGTGATCAGGTAGCCTTTCAGTGTGCTGAATTTGCGGAAGCTCAGCCTCAGTGCACCGCTGCTAGGCTCCTTTGTCCAGATCTGTTGTCTGCAAATGTAGCAGAGTGATGCCACCCTGTCA